AAAAGAAAGAGAAAGGGGAAACGAAAGACAAGGGAAAAGAAAACAAAGATACAAATAAATGGAAAGGGGACTGGAGAGATGGCTCAGCAGTTAAGAGCATTGACTGCTCTTCCAGAGGCTCTGAGTTCAATTCCCAGCAACTACATGATGGCTCACAACCGTTTCAAAATAAGATCTGGTGCCTTCTTCTGGCCTTCAGGCATACATGCAGACTATTGTATACATAATAAATAAATCTTTTAAAAAACCAAATAAATGGAAAGACACCCATGTTCAGGCAGCACAGAAATTAGTATTGTTACAATGTCCATAGTACCCAAAGTAATCTACAAGTTTGATGTAATCACTATCAAAATTCTATTAAAAAATTCTAAAATTCAAAACACTCCTTAATAAAGCTGGAAGCATCAGATTTGTTAGTTTCAAACTTAATTGCATGCCTAATTAAAAGACAGCCTGGTACTGGCATAAATCCACACATCTAGCCCCATTCTGAACAAAATTGTTAAGAACAAACAAGGAGGAACAGACCGTTTCTTTGAAAACTGGTATTTCTCACTCAAGACATGAACTATTGACCTGTACCTTCTCTTCATTTGCCTAGCAAACTTTCCCTCACCCTTCAAGTCCTGGCTCAAAAGCTCACTCCTCCGTGAACCCTCTCCTTGCCAAATTAGGCCCTCTGTATCCCAGGCTACAAAGACTCTCTGCAGAAGCCTCTGTTGTAGCAACAACCATATTGGTATTTTCACTGTAGACCAAGAACGTGGGGGATGAAACTTGCCTTTTCATGCCTACCTAACTCTATGCTAGAATATATTTGCTGCTCAATAATTTTCTGTTGAAGAAAAAGAAATAAAATTTGCCAACTATATTAATAATATTTCTAATAAAGACATGTCAAGTCAAAATCACAATGGCATATCACATCACACGTTAGGGTGTATACTATAAAAACAGCAAGAGAAATCAGACATAGTGGCATACCCACCCATGTAATCCGACCGAGCAGAGTTAAGATTCTTTTTTTTTTTTGGTTTTTCGAGACAGGGTTTCTCTGTGGCTTTGGTTCCTGTCCTGGAACTAGCTCTGTAGACCAGGCTGGTCTCGAACTCACAGAGATCTGCCTGCCTCTGCCTCCCGAGTGCTGGGATTAAAGGCGTGCGCCACCATCGCCCGGCCAGAGTTAGGATTCTTAGGAGATTGAGATCAACCTGGCTGACATAGCAAGATCCTATCTCAAAACCAAGAATGAAAACAAAGTAAAAAGACAAGTTTTAGAAAGGATACGGAGAAAGAGGAGCTCTTTTGCAAACTAAGATTTATTCTTATTTTTAACATTTTGTTGTGTTGGGGCGAGTCCACATGATTGCAGGTGCCCGAGGAGGCCAGAAAAGGGCATCAGATCCCCTGGAGCAGTAGTGCCTTTGTTTCCCAATGGAAATTCTGGAAATAAATCTAAGGCCCTCTAAGCAATAGAGAAGAGGGGGCCGATCTTGACTTGTCCTGTAGTCAGACTGATGACTATCTTAAATGTCACCATAGAACCTTCATCCAGTAACTGATGAAAACAGAGGCAGAGACCCGCATCGGAGCACTGGACTGAGCTCCCAAAGTTCAGTTGAAGAGTGGGAGGAGTGAGAATATGAGCAAAGAGGTCAAGACCATGATGGGGGCAGCCACTGAAACAGTTTGCCTGAGCTCACCAACTCCAGCAGGACAGGGAAGGAACAAGCATGGGACCAAACTGAATCCTCTGAATGTGGGTGACAGTTGCGTGACGGGGGCAGACTGAGGGGCCACTGGTAGTGGCACCAGGACTTATCCCTACTGCTTGTACTGGCATTTTGGGAACCTTTTCTCTTTGGATGGATATCTTGTTCAGCCTAGATAGAGTAGAGAGGGCCTTGGTCTTTCCTCAAAGCAATGTCCCTTACCCTCTCTGAGGAATGGATGGGGGTAGAGGGATTGAGAGGAGGGGAGGGAGAGGGTACTGTGATTAGTATGCAAAATAAAAAATTCTGTTTTCTTTTTTTTTTAAAGATCTCTTAACTGTTGGACCATTTCTCCAGCCCAAGAAGGCTTCTTTGTTTTATCTTATTTTTGTTTTTTCCAGACAGTGTTTCTTTTTATAGCCCTGGCTATCCTGGAACTCGCTCTGTAGACCACCAAGCTGGCCTCAACTCAAAGATCCGCCTGCCTTTGCCTCCTAGAGCTCAGATTAAAGGCGTGTGCCACCACCACCCGACCTAAGAGGATCTCTTACACACTATTAGTGGGGATATTAATTAGTACAGCCATTACAGAAACAGTATGGTAGTTGCCTCAAAATTAAAAATAGAGCTCTCGTGAAAGGACTCAATCCCTCTTGGGTGGTGTTTGTCCAAAAGATATACTATCATTAAATTCAAGGCCAACTTGAGTTACGTGAGATCTTGTCTCAAAAAAAGTAAACAAAAGTACCTTAAACATATTATTTTTATCATTATCCTTCAAAATGCTGAAACATACATATAGCACCTTAGAAAGAAATGACAGGCTGCATACAGTGGCATATGCATGCCTTTAATTTGAGCTCTTAGGAGGGAAACGTAGGCAGATCACCGAGTTTGAGGCTAGACTCGCCTAGTGAGTTCCAGGCCAGCCAGGGGTACATAGGGAGACTCTGTCTCAAAAAATAAAGTTTTAAAAAAATTTGCAAGCAGTATGGATAAACTTTAAAGACATTATGCTAAGTGTAGTAAAATAGGCAAGTCACATAAGCACAAATGTCCCATGGTTCTGCATATGTGCGGTTATAATTCAGATTTACAGAAAAAACTAGAACTGTCTGCCGGGAAGAAACACAGGATCACTGTGTAATAACAGGTGCAGAGTTCTGGGTATATGATATGAAGAGAACTCTAAAACTGACTGGTGATAATTTTATAATGTGAGCTATTGAAGTGTATACTTAAAACGATTAAGATAGTGATTTTTATGTCTATTTTACTACAACTTTTAAACTAAATCTGTCAATAGGGTTTTTCCTCTGAGTTAATTATATAAACACTGCTTATAAAGAATGAAAAGATAAACCACATACTGGAAATTTTTTCTTTACAAGGCATGTATCTGATAATTTGTATCCAGTGTGAACTCTTCCAAATAATAAACAAAGACAAGATGTACAGGGAGGTCTGGGGTATGGTTAATGGTAGAGTATTTGGGTAGCATGCAAGAACATCCTAGGTTTGATACTCAGCACTGCAAATAGATGATCAAACAACAGATCTGAACACTTGGACAAAGAGAAATGGATGGAAAATGCATAGATGAAAGTAGGATCAAACCATTAGTAGTTAGGAAATACAAATTAAAAGCACAATGAGACACTACTGAATGCCTATCAGGATACCAACAACAGAATTAGAGATGACAGCTCAAGTCGTAAAGCATTTGATTCGCATGTGTAAGGTGTTAGGTCCTATCCACAGCTGGGGAGGGGCAAACAGTCAAGTGCTAGAGGATGCAGATCTGAACCCTTTATGTCCTGATGGGAGAGGAATGGTAATGCCATGCTGGAAATGGTTTAGCAAAGACACACAGAAAAATGGAATAGAGGGTCCAGAAATAAACCCACGCACCTAATCTTTAACAAAGTTGTCGAAACATACACTGGAGAAAAGACAGTGTTTTCAAAACATGGTACTGACAGTAGCCTGCAGAATGAACCACGACCCATCTCTCTCACCCTGAACAAAAATCAATTCAAGATGGGTCGGACTTTAAAGTGAGAGCTGCAACCGAAAGCGCTAGAGACACGGGGGAAACAAAGTACAGGCATAGAGAAGGACTTTCTGGAAAGGAGTCTGAGAGCATAGGAGAAAGCCCCAAAACTGAAGATGGCATCGCACAAAATTCAAGGGATTCTGCAGAGCAAAGGAAAGCACACAGAATGCACACAGCTGACAGCGCATTGGGAAATTCCTACAAAAAAATAATGAAAATATTTTTAAAAGAAATAGAAACAGTCAGTACATTTTTTAATGTTCATGATCATTTTTAGCCACCAGGGAAAAGGCCTCTTAAATCTGCTTTGAGAGGTCCATCTTAACCCAGTCAGAGGAGTGGCTATCATCAAGAAATCGAGCGACGATAATGCTGGTGATGCGGGAAAAGGGAAACCCTGCTGGTGGAATCAGGAACTGCTGTCGCCACTGTGGAAAGCAGCAGGGAGATTCAGTGAAAAGCTAAAAATTCAACTATTGGGACTGGAGAGGCAGCTCAGTAATGACAAAGACTAGATGTTGTCCCAAAAAGTCCAGAGTTTGGTTCCTGGCAGCTATGTCACAACCTTGAACTCCAGTTCCAAGGCATCTGCTGTTTTCCCGCCTCCTCAGGCACCCCTGTGGAACACACGTGCATTCACTCGCAAACAATTTCTTCTCTCAAAGCATAAACCTTCAAAAAGTACAACTATCATACAGAACAGCTACACTAACTCTTGGACACAGACCTGAAGGGATCCAATCAGCATGGCACAGGGGCAGCAGGACATACATGTTTATTGCTATACTGTTTACAACAGACAAGTTAAGGGACCAGCCTAGATATCCATCAACAGATGGAATAGTGTGTAAGTGTGTGTGTGTACCAAAATGAAAACAATGAATTTTAAAAGTGAACTTAAAATGCACACCAGAGTCAGAGAGATGGCTCAGCAGTTAAGAGAACTTGGCTGCTTTTGCAGAGGACCGAAGTTCCCAGCACCCATACAGTGGCTTACAACCAACTGCCTATAATTTCAGTTCCATGGGATCTGACGCCCCTTTTCTGGCCTCTGTAGGCACCAAGCCATGCATGTGGTACACAGGCATACATGCAGGCAAAATAAGAAAGTTTTTTAATGAACAAAGAAGTTTAGCAGTTCCTGGAATGTTAACCATATGCTTACCATCTATTCGGGCAATCCAAGTCTAGGTTGTAATGCCAAAGAAATGAAAACAGTCTCACAGAAGCTCTTTTAGCAGCTTTATTCATTACTTCCTCCTCAACTGTAAAGAATGTCTTCCAACTTGGGATTGAATAAGCAGTAGTACATCTACACAATGGAGTATGAAATAGCAATCAGAACTATCGATACACCCAGTGATACAGATCTTGAATCTAACTCACAGCAAGTTATTCTCAAAAGTTATACTCTTAAATTCCACTTACAATTCTTTTCAAGGGACAAGGCAGAAAGTCAAAGACACATCAGAGATTGCCATGGGTAGTAGGTTCAGAGGACTAGATTTCACTGTCACAGCAGGAGACGGTGAGGGAGGCTAACAGAATCTGTTACTGTGTTCATCCACTTAGCAGGGCTTATGCAACTGTATTTTACATGAACGTAAAGTTTCACGGTACAAAGCTAAAAGCTTAACGGCATAAAATAAGCCCCTGTGTGACTTACAACATCCACAATAAGGAACGAGAAAAAGATCAGTGCTTGCCAGGATCTGAGGACAGAAACAGGGCTATATTACAAGGTGACATGGTAAGTTTGGGGAGAATGCCACAAAAAATCTGTATACATTTTTTTCTAACATTGCTGTGTTTTGCTTGATTGTTTTCTAAGACAGGGTTCCTTTGTGTTAACAGTTCTGGCTGTCCAGGAACCCAGAGACACCCACCTGCCTCTATCTCCCAAGTGCTGGGATTAAAGACATATACCAACACTGCCCAACTAAAAATTCTGTGTCGTGATAATGGTGGCAGACCACCCCTGGTACTCTGCAGTCCAGGCTGGACTCAGGCTCACAGCCTCAGCATCCTGAGTGCTAGGATACTGATGTGAGTCACTGGCTGGAGTCTGAAATTCTTATTCTGACATGATTATTTTAGTTCCATTTTATTTTGGCTAGGGTCTACATGCTTTTATTTCTAATATATTATTATCTACCAAAACTTCACCGAAATCAGTGAACTAAGTTGAACACGATTTAAAGAGACCTGGAAAGCGTAGTTGTCATAAAATGCTACCTGTTTTTAAAACCAGGGTAGCGAAAATGCATTGAGAAGGGTTGATACCAGAAACCACCACAGGGTGGATGCCTGGACCAGTGCTCCTGTGTGGAGAAGGCAATACAATACAGAACAGAAGGCTAGCATGATTTTAATTACACTCATTTTAAACCTAGTATACCACCACTTAACATTGTAAACACATTCTGTCAGTTCTCTGAGCCCTACCTCTTCCTGACAGGGACGTATTGAAGGTTAAAGGAGCTAACTAATTCTCAGAGTTTGGTAGTCTGGACTCAGCCAGTACCTAACTCTGTCTGGAAAACACAGGTATGATCTACATTCCCTGAACATCCTACAGTCAATGGCTTTCCAACTTACTATGATAGGTATATCTCTTCTGGAATCTTCACCCTCTTCCCTATCCCTAGACAGCTGCAGAGACATAGAAGGCTTACCACTGCGATGAGGGCCCACCTAGTGATTGAGAAAATGTACAGCCAAGAGCCTTCGGAATGCCTAGGCACTGAGATCTTGTGGGGTGATAAAATCACAAAGGATCACCTGTCCAGGGACACCCTGCCACCAGATTTCTCAGCAGTCCATCCTTTAGAACATTCACCTGTCCAAGAGTTCAAACCTTATCAGCCTAACCCACAAACAAGGTGAAACACAGGAATTAGGAGTACTGGGTACATTGCTAGCACTTGGACTCGGCTTATTTGTATTTTTAATACTACGATTTTATTTACTGACTTATTGGTTTCTCAAGACAGTTTCACTGTGTAGTCCTGGATCAGGCTGGCCTAGAACTCAGAGATCCGCCTGCCTCTGCCTCCCAAGTGGTTGGATTAAAGGTGTGCGCCAGCACAGCCCAAACTCTACTATTTGTTTTGGGCTGTAGGTTAAGAAAAGGTTCTGCCAGATAGTCCAGGCTCTCCTTTAACTTAGGCAATCCTCCTAGCTTCAGTCTTCCAAGAGTCAGGTTTATAGGTATGTAGCTACCATGCCAAGACTCTGTTGATATTACGTTGTAAAACACAGTGGGAGCCGGGAGTGGTGGCAAAAGCCTGTAATCCTACTACTTGAGAGGCTGAGTAAGCAGAATGGGATCCATAGCAAGAATCTTTCTCCAATGATAATAACGGATGGTGATAATGATAATAATAATACAGCTTGGTAATAGATGTTTGTCTAATATGCGTGAGGACCTATTAGGTTCAATCCTTGGCACCACAAAAACAAACAAAATGTCATTTCTAAGGACATAAGAACTAAGAGGGTATTAGGGTCTGGCAGCTCCAGATCTTTGAGACTCTTAACTGATGAGAATGGAGGGCACCGTGGCAGAAGACAGATGGTGTGGGGGTGTTCTTCTACTATGTAGGTACATCAGGGAGAATCAAACGCCATCCGTATTCTCCCATCCCATAGGAAACAGTGTTTGCAGCAGGAGGGAAGGTCAGCTCATCAGTCGCCAGCAGTGTCGTTGCCAGCATTGTCGTCGCCAGCAGTATCGTCGCAGTTGCCAGAGAGGTCGAGCATCGACATCATGGAGTCAGACAACTTATTGGCGATTTTCTCTGTAGATGGGGAAATACAGGCAACCTGTGAGTGGCTGGCTTGGCTAACGGAAGGCCTGCCACAGCTAGCTTATCACTAGCTTGGCCCATTCTAACCTTCCAACTGGCTCGGTTACCCACCTAATCATTCAGCAAAAAAAAAGATGCGCCATTACAACTGTCACTCAACCTCACAGGAAAATTCACTCACTGTGAAGTGATCAACCACAGCAGTTTCATCTCAGGGTTTCAGACTCACAGAATTCCAAGTATTTTTGTAAATTCTAAGTACCAAAATAGTAACTTCCTTCTACTGTATGAACTTAGCACTCCTCCATTACCCTAGCCACCCCCAAACAAGCATTCCCAGCAAAGGAGTGCACAGTAGTACTGGCGTTGAGCCTGAGCGCTTAGCACGCCCAGCTCCAGCCTCCAGATACACGTGCTCCTCTCCAGGAAGCCTCTGCTGACTACCCGTCACCAAGCTGGGTTATGCTCCCTCCCTCCAAGTGCTTGCTGTACATGCCGTCAGAGTGATCATTCTACACTGTCAGTGTCTGCTTTTTCTCCTCCCTACTCCCTAACAAGATTTGGAGTTCAAATCCACCCCTGGATTCCCAGGACTCAGAATAGAGAGAGCCACAGTAAGATGGCTATAAAATATGGCCTAGCTAAAAAGAATAGACATCACAGAGTCAATCAACCCTACCTATATTTGTATTTTGTTGGTGTTTTTTGTTTTATTTTGTTTTGTATCGAGACAGGGTTTCTCAATAGCTTTGGAGCCTGTCCTGGATCTTGCTTTGTAGACCAGGCTGGCCTCGAACTCACAGAGATCTGCCTGCCTCTGCCTCCCGAGTGCTGGGATTAAAGACATGTACCACCACCACCTGGCTACATTTGTATTTTGAAACCACAGATACTGAAGTGCGAGTATTCTTACCTTTATTAATTCACTGAAAACTGTTTTATCACTCCTCAATATCCACAGGCACAAGGAGACCACAGCTTTACTAACAATAATGTAGTTAGTATCTTCACATGACCTGCACACATCCTCCTGCGTGCCGAGATTGCTAATATCCAATCTGATACACATGCTATAAAACAGCTGCCATACTGTGTTGCTTAAGAACTACTGACAAGAAATATAGACTGTACCTATTTTGAACTTATTTTTTTTAGCCAGGAATAGTGGTGCTCGCCTTTAATCCTAGCAATTGGGAGGCATAGGCAAGTGGATCTCTGTAGTTCAAGGCTGACTTGCTTTCTAAAGTGAGTTCCAGGTCAGGCAAAGCTACACAATGAGACCCTGTATTGGAAAACCAACCAAAACCTTAACTTTATGTATATGTATGCGTGCGCACCACTTGCAAGCTAAGTGCCTGTAAAGGTCAGAAGAGGCGTTGGATGACCTAAGACTAGAGTCAGACAGTTGTGAGTCATTGTGTGGGCTGGGAAGCAAACCTGTGTCCTCAGCAAAGACAAGAGCTCTTAAGACGGAAAGGGTCATCTTTCCAGCACCTAGAGATGCAGTTCCTTTCAAGTATTCTTATTTCCACCTGACTGGATCTGTAGGACAGAAGCCACAGATATGGAGGACCAACTATACATACCCTAAAAACCTGAATGAGTCAGCTGCACCAAGGACCACCATTTACACAGAGAAGAAATACTTTTGTGTGCCCTGATGTGGAAATATCCCTAAGACACAGAATGAGAAATTATGAAGCAAAACTGTATGCTCTGTGATAAGAACTGGTGTGGAAAAGAAGACAAAGAATACAAGGCTTCTGCATATATCTGTCTTAAGAAGGGCAAGAAATTAGCTGGGTGATGGTGGCACACACCTTTAATTCCAGCACTCCGGAGGCAGAGGCAGGCAGACCTCTGTGAGTTCAAGGCCAGCCCGGTTTACAGAGCGAAACTGTGTCTCAAAAAACAGGTGGCAATTCACTAGCCAGCTGCCTATGGTAGAAAGCTTTGAGAGATTTTACTTTGTATCCTCTGGGGTTTCAAATGCACTTCCTACTGATATAGTACAAATGATAATATGCATTCTACCCAACACACAGAAAACACCCAAGAAATGTGGGACATGATGCACAGGCCAGGTCAGTGGCCTACAAGTGTGGGCCCCAGAAATCTGCTTTAACAAACCCTGCCGATGACATCGATCCAAGCTAGAATTTTGAGAACCACTTGCCAGTCTGTGAGCCTCCTAACCCCATCCCTTCAAGCCTTCCATAGAGGTAGTCACATGTCGCAATGCTTATTCAAAAATACCTGAACCCTGGCCCCTATCAGGCATTTTTGGAGCATAGGAATTTTCAGAGCAAAGTCAGGTACCCTTACCTGAACGCTTCTGTAATTTTTTCTTATTCTTCAAGGCAGATGCCAGAGCCTGGCCTTGCTGAAGTGGGTCTGTCTCCAGGATCCTCTGCAACATTGGGCGGCGGTCCACTGTCCAGATTTCCACTGGATCATCGTTTGGGGGGAAGTATTGGTCCACATTGCGTTTAGGCCACCCCATCTGGTGGCGCCTTGGAATGGTACAATACCCAGTGTGGTCTCCAATCTGGAGAGAAAAAGAATAATGATGGGGTCTTGATCTCCAAACACTCCTGCAGAGAAGCCAACGACAAGCTTGAGTAAGAAGGAATCTAGAGCCAGTTATAGCTCCATCATATCCTAACTGGTGCTTAGTTAGCCGACAAGACTTAGTTTGTTCATGTGTCAGGGGATGAGCACCGGGTAGTTTGCAAGGTTTTACAATAATTTGAAAAAGGAAAGGAAGCAGTAGTAGCTTACACCTATAATCTAGCAGTCAAGAGGGTAAGGCAGGATTGTTGTAACCGTAAGATCAGTCTGGACTACATGGTTGAGTTCTAGATTAGTTTGGGCTACAGAGTAAGAACAGAAAAAAGAAGTTACTCTATTAGTGACAATTCATATTCTAATGATCCTTTGTTGAAATAACCCTTCAAGGCTTTACTCGACTAGTACTTCTTTTCCCAGACAGGATTTCTTTTTGTAACAGCCCTGGCCGTCCTGTAGACTAGGCTGATCTCGAACTCAGAGATCCACCTGCCTATGCTTCCTGAGTGCTAGGATTAAAGGTGTATGCCACCAGAGGTCAGCTATAGCTAGTATTTTTAACACCCACTTCATGCCCCACTATGTGGGACAATCCTGGGAACAAAAAATTAAGTCAGACTTAGGCCCACCTTTAGTAAGAACCCAGGCTAAACCTAACGCAGAGCGTGTTGTCTACCTATGGGGGCATTACAAAGGGAATCTCTGTGGCAGGTACATGTGAGTAGTAAGAGCAAATATTAACAGAGCATTTACTATGTATCATGTACCAATCTAACATACAAATATACACATACCTAAGGAAATAGGTATTGACATAAACATGGTTCAGACAAAATGGCCCACATATGTGATGGTGGCCTGCCACAAACATCTTAGTTTATGTAAGTATATACACTCTAGGCTATTTCCACAATGAAGATCCTATCAAGGTAGGTATGGCAGCAGACTCGTAATCTCAGCACTCAGGAGGTAGAGGCAGGGAGAACAGGAGTTCAAAGCCAATCTCAGTGACATATTGAGTTTGAAGGTAGCTAGGCTCCATAAGACTGTCTCAAATATCCTAAAGCAGTGTACTTCTTAGGACATAGCCTTGCTATGACTGTATTGACTCCTTTTGTACATACTAACTAATTTAATTCCTATAAGAAGATGCACCTGAAGTCACAGGGCTAGCAAGTAAGAAGCGGGGTAAATTAAGAGCCCAACAGCCTGGTTCTATAGTTTGTGACTATAACCACCCACTGTCCTATAGTAGGGAAAAGGGTTTGAACAAAGCTACTAAGGTTAGTGACAAAGATACTATTCGCTACACAGTGTGCAGTACAGTATTTCTGGGGAGTTATGTGACAAGGTGGCCTGCTAAGGGCCCTGGATTGAGCCTGAAACTTGTAGCACAAAAATGGGGGACTACTGTCAGTTTCTAAGAAATATACTATGTTCAGGGGCTTATGGCTCAGTGAAAAATATTATTTGGGAAGGTAGCCTTAAACAGACAAGTTTACAGATTTTTTTCTTTAGGCAACAGGAAACGTCTAGTGCTAAGTGAAGATGGGAAGGGTGTGACTCCTGCCACTGCGCAAGTTCAGACCTTACCTTCTACTATGGATTGACTAAAGGCGAGTTTCCTCCTCAGTCAACCTGAACCACTTTCTTTCTGAATGACTATACTCTTTATTAGCATGGCAACAAGACATTTTTGTTAATAAATCTTTCCAGACATTACATCACCATGAAAAATAAAGCACAGCTCTTGAAGAAATCATGTGACAATCTCTAAACAAATTTGCAAGTGAAATAAGTACAGAATGATAGGAAAAATATCCTCATTTTAATTAAAATAGTTACTTGGGGCTAGATGGGGCTCAGTGGTAAAGGGCTTGCCCAGCATATGTGCCTTTGCCCAGTGAACTCAGCCTTCAAGAAGCAGCTTAAGCCAGGCGGTGGTGGTGCACGCCTTTAATCCCAGCACTCGGGAGGCAGAGGCAGATGGATCTCTGTGAGATAGAGGCCAGGCTGGTGTACAAGAGCTAATTCCAGTATGGGCTCCAAAGCTATGGAGAAACCCTGAAAAAAAAAAGCAGCTTAAAGGTTCCCTGACCAACTAACTACTAGTATAGTTTAGGGCCCTTAGATATATTGTTCTTTTATAATCAGCCATCTCTAATCACTCCTCCTATGTGTCTAAAACAAAAACTCTGAAGAACAGAGATGGGCTGACTGAAAAAAAAAAGATGCCAGGAAGATCTTGTATAGCAAACCATGGAAGCGTTTCAGCAGGGAAAGTGACAGGGTCAGACGAGGCTATTAGGAACCACAGAATAGCCAGGTATGGTGACGCATACCCCGTCATCTCAGCACTGGGCAGTTGGAAGGCAGGAGGATCGGGTGTTCAAAATCAGCCTTGTCTACATGAGATCCTGTCTCAAACAGCAACAAAAGAAACCAAGAAACACATATCCAAGTAAGTTGAGGACTAGAAGCACACTCTAGGATTACAGAGGAATCAGAGATAAGACATTTTGACATCTTAAGAATTCCTTACCATCCATATGGTAAGGAATAGCTATAGGATTTGGTTACCAACAGTGTATGGGATCCTGGATACTACTAGTCAAGAGGAGAGTCATCTGCTAATTGAACAATTGGGTGATTAAGATGACAACACCTGTTCTATGGACTGGAACCAGAAGTGGGAAAGCTGCTTAGACATGTCACTGTCTGGCAAAGAACACACTGGGTCAAGAATTCACAAGTCCAAAGGAAGTGTGTGAGCCACTCAGACCTCACTACCCTAGGAGAGACACAGAAGGAAGTGCCTGCCTCCCAGAAGCCTGTGCAGGAGACAGCTACCGTGAGGATGTGAAGAGGTACCTTGTATTCGGTGGCTCTATTTTCAATAGCATTTGCTATTTTCACCAACGGAGAATGGAGCCACTTGAAGTCCATTTCTTCTGGGTCCGTGTCACCCAACAGCTCATCGGCTTCTCCATTGGCCAAGCCTTTAACACAAACACCACTGTTAGGATCCTGGATCCCCCTTTGCTGCCTGCCAGTCCTCTGATCAGGCCTAAGCAGAAACGACATGAGGGTACCACCAGGGGAATGGAGTGAGTGAAGTTGTTTTTGCTGAGAGGCTACATGACAAAGATTTTATTTTTTTGGATTTTTCGAGACAGGGTTTCTCCATAGCTTTTTGGTTCCTGTCCTGGAACTAGCTCTTGTAGAACAGGCTGGCCTCGAACTCACAGAGATCCACCTGCCTCTGCCTCCTGAGTGCTGGGATTAAAGGAATGCGTCAGCATGACAAAGATTTAAAAGCATGAATCTAATCCATACCTGTAATGCCAGCATTTAGGAGGGTAAAACAAGAGGATCATGAGTTCAAGGCCATCCTGGGCTCTATGTCGTGACCCTGTCTCAAAATAAAAAACAAAATAAAAGTATGAATTTATAGGACCATAGCCTGCTGGGACTTAGCCTTAAAGCTTCGGCTTGCTCATATGAGAAAAGGGAATTCCCAAACTCTTATTCATAGGATTAAGGTGAAATCCAGCAGAAGGCACCGACCATATTCTGGTTCAAATGTGATGAAGAGAGAGAGCCATGAGAATTCCCTTCCTAGAACCAGGCTTCTTGCCTCCTCCCTCCCACTCCTTGCTTAAAACTGGCCTCCACCACAACCCTCAGACATGCCTATTGCATGCCTACCCTCCTATCTACTTCTACCAACTTTATCTCAGCCACTTCACTGACTGTCCTAATTCCTGCTCACACTTCAAGATCCAACGCCAGGACCGACTCCTCCACGCTTTTGACCCTCACCTCTTCCCCACATGCGAATCCAGCCAGGGTCAAGCGTCACCAGTAGAACATGAGTTCGAATCCCTCTCAACTGCCCACTTGACAGAACCAGAAATGAAAGCTCAGCAAGAGGGCTGACTTGCCTGAAGTCACACATGGAATAAACTAGAAAGTAGGCAAGTCTTCTTGTCCTCATTTGTAATCCAGGACTTCAGAGGACCCAGAGGAGGAAATGACTGGCCTCCAGGAAAAACAGAAGTAAGACTTTAGGCCAAACAGAGCGTTCTCAGCTGTTCCTAAGCGTATGACTAGAGGGCCCTGGGCAGAGGAGAGAGTGGAGGAACCACAGGCCAGGGCTACATGCAGTATCAAAGGCAGAAACCTACTGAGCACTTGCCTAGCACAAAGCCCTAGGTCTAATCCTCAACATTGCTTTTTTTAAAGCCCAGGGCAATAGAAGAATAGGGAGAAGGACCATTTGGTCATTTGATTTGGCTGGAATTACAGACCTGTGCAAACATACACAGCCGAGAAAGAGTTTTTGAGCTTTTAATCTAACACTCAAATACACACACACACACACACACTCAAACTCTTGCCGAGCAGTGGTGGCGCACGCCTTTAATCCCAGCACTCGGGGCGGCGGCGGCGAGGGGGGGGGGCACAGAGGCAGGAGGATCTCTGTGAGTTTGAGGACAGCCTGGTCTACAGCGTGAGTTCCAGGAGAGGCTCCAAAGCTACAGAGAAACCCTGTCTAGAAAAAACAAACAAAAAACACCCCCCACACACCCCACACATAAAGGACTTTTTAAAGGGTTATTTCAACCCAAAAGAAAGAAAGTCTCACTTCCAAAGAACCTAAAGGAGTACTAGTTAGTCAGCCAATCTACCAGATGTTCACCACCACCACTACTCTCATTGCCCAAACTAGAATTTTTCTAACTTACAGGACAATGAATAAAATTTAATACCAGGCCCCAAGTAGCCCCAGGAAAGGAGAGATGAAATGTGTGATCTGACATCAGGTCTGGGCTCCCTTAGACAAAACCAGCGGCCCCACCCATTCACACGTACATTCCATGGTGTCGTCATTGGCATGCTCAGTATCTTCGATATCAAAGACCTCAGTCATCTCCTTCACAATCTCAGCACTGAGATGGGCGGGCAGAGTGTGAGTAGGTGGCGGTGGTGTATAGAAGCTGATCTTCCCACTGTATTGGGAGAGAAGGGGAGGTCAGTAGTGACATCACTGAGAACAAATAGCCTACCAGAAGAGGACGTAGGACGAGAACAGAGAAAATGCCTTTCCGAGCAATGTGTTGAACCGCTCAATAACCACTAGGCACAGAGTACTAGTTCTTTGGCTGTCCCCTACCTTGAGACCCAGGAAGTCAGGCTGTCCCATCGGCATCAATGAATGAATGTCACATCCTACTCAACCCCTTCCTCACCTCACCCAGTCAGCCAGGACAGCTTTGGCAGCCTCCTCACGACTGTATATGCCTCCCTTCTTCTTCTTTCCCAAGCGGTGGGCCACTGCGGTCAGAAAGTGCTCAGTAGTCTGGAATCCTGAGACACCGTAATAGCTGGAAATCTAGCAGAATTGGAGGAAGAGTCATGAGAGTGAGTGAAGGACCAGCTGTAGAAGTAGGGGCTAGGCCACCCACTGGGGACCCTGCTCTTTACCTCCTCCAGGTTGCAGCGCTGAAGGATGGTCTCCACTGGGGTCACGGGGTCTGCCAGCTTCTGCACATGGATGCAATTCCGCAGGATGGTGCCCACCTCTGAATTGGGTCCTGGGACAATGCCTGGAGCATCCAGCAGCCTGATGTACTTGTCTAAGAAGACCTCCTGCATGAATCTGGAGAAAAACAAGGCCCAGATGTACCTGGTACTTAGTCACAAATGTTGGGCCTGGAAAGGCTGGAGGGAGGTAAAGGAAGAGAGGGGAAGGGGGATCTTAGGTGAAGTGGAAAGATGTGGACCGGGGGGATCTGAGGTGCTACAGTCCCAGTCCCTTTCACTGGGGGCTTAGCTGCAGGATGTCAGGCAAGGTTATGACTCTGTTGCTTCAGCTGAGCAACAGCGCTTTTTGCAGTTGTTATGAAGGACCCAACAGCCCACACCTGGGATGGGCCGGCCAGGTGAATGAGCGCTATTAGTAGGATTCCTAAACCCAGGGTATGGATCAGAGGATAGTCCACAATTAGGAAAGCGGCAAGGGCTAAAGGCATGTGGGCGTTGATGGATGGGTAATGGCAAGGACTTGTGAAGCACTGGGAAGCTCGCAGATCTTACTTTGTGACGCCAGGAACAGCTCCCACACTGCACGCACGGCTGCGCTTCAGGCTATTGATCAGGCTGCTCTTCCCCACATTGGGAAGGCCTGCAATGTAGGAGCAAAGTACTCAGGGCAGGAAGTACTCAAAATTCAGGCCAGCCTGCTTCAGAAAGGGCCTGGCAGAGGCCGTAACCAGGTCACGGGCAAGCCAGAAGTAGAGCCTGGCCTCTTGTCTTCCCACCCCAGGCCCTGGCCAAGCCTCTACAGGGAACTTCCAGTTCTCCCCTCTTGTTGGCATTCTCGGCATCCAGGGCCCTCTCTCGAGATGTGCAGTGCACCTCCAGCCACAAGCAGCCGGGACAGGCGCGCCATATAAGGCCTCACAGACATGACCCAACAGAAGGTGGTCAAGTGTTGAAACAGACACCTGTTCTGACATGTAACTCCCCTGGGGAGAAGGGGTTACTCTCCAGATGCCTCTCTCTCCACACAGCTGACTTTGCCTGTGGAATCTTTGTATCTGAGCACCCGTGCAGCACTGTTGGGCTGCGGCTGTGAGTCTCTCTCCCCTACATCATCTTACTGTCCTCTAGTGTACTAAAGTTTACCACTATGTACCATTCCCTCACATGTGTGCCTGGGAAGATCCGTGGTCCTGACCTGGGAGGCTACACACGCCTGTGTGTCTCCTGGACTGCTCTTCCCTTTCGTTGGCCCTCTCAGTGAACTGGCCCCACAGCTCTGAGTCTATGCATCTAAAAAGCTCTTTTTCGTTCTGATTCTCTCCACCCCACCATTCCACTCCTGACTACATGGTTACTATGCTCCTTCTCTCTGGAGTCTGTCTATAGAAATGTGCTCATGTGTCTTTCATTATGGTCTTGGCTGGCTTTGTGTGCCTCCCTAACTATGTCTTTAATTCTCTCTCTACAGACATTTCTGCCTCATCACAGGCATGCCTGTTTCTCCCCGATTTCAGGTTGTTTCAGAGGGTTACGGTTATCTGGGCACATGTGGTGTCCCCGAGGCTTTATCTGCTCTGGGGAAATAGAGACAGTGTGAGTGCAGAAGAAGCTGGTCCGCACATGCTGCCTGAGCCTGTCTAAGCCTGCAGATATGGCCCTCCCAGGTGTGCACACGACTCCATGCATAGGGATTTACATGTTCTTAAGATCTGTCTGTGTGCATAGGCCTGTATTGGATGCTCCTCTGTGTGTATATCAAGCTTCTTTTCAAACTGTCTCCATTCCTGCAATGTTCTTTTGCGGTGATGCATATCTACGCAAGTGCCGATCCCAAGCGTCTGTTCTGAAGCACCCTTCTACAGGTCTCTGTACACACTTTAGCTGTTTCCTATCACCCTGAGCCCAGGGTCTCACACAAACTAGGGAGGCCTTCCACCATTGAGCAACACTCTCAGCTGCTTTTACTTTTCTATGAATCAAGGTCTCACTAAGTTACCTAAGGCTGGCCTTGAACTCAAACTTTCCATCTTCCAAAGCAGCTACCACTGCAGGTCTGGGTCACCAGGTCTGCCCACGTACTCATCTTTACTGCCACTTTGGGCATTCTCTGAGCTGCTGTGTCCTTCACTCTCTTTGTGCCTGTCACTTTAATTTGTCTTTTCCAATTACTCATCAGTCTCCCTGGCCTTTTTGTCTTGTTGTCTATTCAGGTGTGTGGTGTTTATACATTTTCTGTCAAATTCTCTTCAATTTCTCAAGTTGAGACACTTCCCCTCCCCGATTTTTCCCTGCCTCTTAATTTCCCCACTCCCCTTTCATCCCCTTCAACAGTACTGCAGTTTCAGAAAGACCCACCATGCTTAAGCCTCAGCCCCGCCTTGTTTCCTTCTGTGGGTCTCGGTGTTCTCCCTCCCATAGCTCCAACAGTCTGGAGTGTTTTTGGCATTGTATTTGCTTTTAACGGTGGTGAACCTGAATATGCCTTCCCAATGCCCACTAGCCAAACTGCAAATTGCAAAACCACTCCTGAACCCCTCCTCTCTTCCCCAAAGAAACACCACAAAATTCCAAACCCTTTCCTTCCTTCCTTGCCCAATGAAGGCGTGTGCCCCAAACTTATTTGTGTGGCCTTACCTACAACCCCGACTCGAATGTGGGTGCGCACTTCCCCCAGGCGGCAATAGTTTCCCAAGACCCTCATGAGGTTTTCAGCTCCAAAGCAGGCTCTGCTTTTTTTCAACAGCGAATCAGAAGCCTGGTCCACTGGAACTTTACACTGAGTCTGAAAAATGAGGTATATTACCAAATGGGCATCCGTTGGGAAAAAGACGCTAAGCCCAAATTTCCAGGCTATAGTGGAATATTCAGAACTACCCTGGGATCACTGACCTCACAGGCTTCTCACAGCAACTACATCCCAGCTCTTTCTTGCTCCAGTTGTTGTGTCTTTTTTGGTTTTGTTTTGTTTTTTGAGACAGGATTGCTCTGTGTAACAGTCCTGGCTGCCTGGAACTAACTCTGTAGACCAGACTGGGCCAGAACTCACAGAGATCCACACACCTCTCCCTTCTAAGTGCCGGGATTAAGTTGTGTCTTTTTCACGGAGAGCTGTGAAGATATCCCAGCTTGAGGCACGCTAGGCTTCATTTCTAGTTCTCTCATTCACAGGATTATGAGGAAAAGCCTATTTCCTTCCTAGGGCCTTGGGGTCATAGATACACAAATGGAAAGCCTTAGCTCTCCACCGGTGCAGAGAGGGTGCCCGGCCCAAAGCTCATCTTCCCTTGACCCCTCACATAGGATAAGGCCATTCCAACCTCCCTACTTTGATTTTTGCTATGGGGGGAGCGTTAAAATTATAAGTAGACATATTATGTTGGCAAGAGTGAAGGGAAAGAGGTCCTCTTCATACATCCATCTACTCAAGGGGGAAGAGGATTACTTGGCACAGCTATTATAAAGGATAATTTATCAGTGTCTAGGAAAATAGCAAAAGCATAGACCTATGCATGACACAGCCACACCACCGCTCAGTACTCAGCCGCACCAACACTTGTCTGCATGTCAAGGAGATGCATGAAAGTAGATTAACATAAACGCCACTTAAATAATAATAAAAAAGAACTGGAAAATAGGGGCTCAGTGCCAGAATGCCTGGCTACATAGGCAAGATGTTCCATGTTCCATTCCCAGCACGGTAAAAAGTAGTGCAAACTGAAAACTTGTCCCCCAGTAACCAATTTACCTCCCCCAAACAATTATTACTCTTACTTTAATATTTTACAAGTATTTCTATGTTGATATCAATAGGAAGTATTGCGCCTTATGTGAGTTTCTTTTTAAAAATTTATATAAGATTTATTTATTACAGCCATGGTGGGGCGCATGCCTTTAATCCCAACACTCAGGATGCAAAGGCAGGTGGACTATCTGCGTTTGAGGTCAGCCTGGTCTACAGAGTGAGTTCTAGGATAGTCAGGGCTACACAGAGAAAAAAAAATAAAACAAAACAAAAAGATTTATTTATTTGTATGTGGATGAGTGCTTTGCCTGCATGCATGCCTATTGTCTGGATAGATCAGAAGAGGGTGTCCAATCCCCTGGAACTGGAGTTACGGATGACTGAGTCACCATGTAGGTGCTGGGTACTGAATCTGGATCCTCTGGAAGCAAGTGCTCTTAACCACTGAGCCATCATCTACCCAGTCTCCTATGCCTTGTTTTAAAGAGGGGAAAATGAATAGTATTTTGAAGAGTTAACAAGCAGCTAATTCTATTTCCCAGATTGCCTATAGACAATATATATTATTGTATCCTCACAGCTGGAAAAAAAACCATTGTATCCTGTGAAGAGAGGTAATATAGGAAGTAGTAAAGTAACATAAACATTAACAAGTCACCCACTAGAGAAAACACCTCAAAGTCGAAAGCCCAATCGAAATCTTACCACCTACAGCCTTGGTCCCAAACCACATGAAAGAGGCTAGATACCCCGACTCCAAGCTTACCAAGTTTCTGAACTGATGCTGGGTGCTGGCCTTGAAAGCCACAGTTGGCAGCTCATTTCGAAGGTAATCCAGCCATTTTTCTATAATCTCCTTGGGAACCAGGTCTGGGAAAGACAGAAACAGATGGGGCTTGTAAGAACATTATTCCTTATACGTCTAGCTAAAAAAGAAAAAGAAAAAAAGATCATTATTCCATGGCTTCCCTCAAGCCACATACCCATGTCTAGGCCTACCTCCTACCAACAGATCTCTCCTCTTGCCCTCACTGTCCCTGCCTAGTCCCCAGGATGGCGCTACAAAGGACAATTTGATCCACAGGGCCAATTGGCCCTACCTGAGAAGGCTTACTTTCTTGAAGAAACTATGTAAAGAAGTAGTTTTTTTTTTTTTTTTTTTTTTTTTTTTGCTTTTTCGAGACAGGGTTTCTCTGTGGCTTTGGAGCCTACCCTGGAACTAGCTCTGTAGACCAGGCTGGTCTCGAACTCACAGAGATCCGCCTGCCTCTGCCTCCCGAGTGCTGGGATTAAAGGCGTGCTCCACCATCGCCCGGCTGTAAAGAAGTAGTTTTGCCCCAGATATCCTCCTTTCATGTTAAGGTGCCCGAATATCTTACTCCCATTCTCTTTCCTAATCATTCTAGGCTTGGCTAAGTGTCAAGAAAAAGCATCACTAAGAATGGCTGGGATTTGTGAAGTGCTGATTATACACCAAGTTCTTCATTAATTCTCGCAATAAACCTGGGAGACCAAGATGGTCATGCCTCTGTTTACTATTAGAGAAATAGAAGTTCTCACAAGTGACATGACCTATCTGATATCAAGAAGAAAATAGCAAAAGTGGGATAAGACTAACACCTCAATGAGTCCCAAGCCATGTGTTCTCTCTTGTCCCAACCTTTGAGTTCCAGTTTGTGGGGACAGATCTCCAAGAATGACCAGACATTGAACAGGCTCAAAATTGCAAGGAAAGGGGACTGAAAGGCAAACAGGCTCAAACTCTACCCCCAACCCTTGCTACATTCTGTATATACCAGACAATACTTCTGGCTTTGGAAATTTGAGCAAGAATTCCTATGAATGACTATTCTGAATGCCTCTAAGTTGCTGGGTCTCAGTGACTAATCTGAGCTAGCCTTAGTTTAAACCCCTTCCCTGCCTTAGCCAACCCATCCAAAACCTACCAATCTTATTCAAGACCAATACCAGCTTCTTGTTGCCCTCTGCCCGAAGGACAGTCTCCTCCATCTGGAAACAGCGGCAGCCCAGGGGATCTCTAGCATCCAGAACTTCCAGAATCACATCAGAGTACTCTACCACCTGCAGGACAGAAGATGCAGATGAAGGCTGAGAACAGATATGTAATGGTCTCCATTTCGGTCAGAAAAAAACAGAGACAAAGGAACGAAAATGCAATGGGGTTCTCAGCAAAGGGCTTTAAGAAACGAATACTTGTTCTGTAGCTCAGTCTATCATCTTAATACTTGTGCTGGTGAGACAAGAGGGCTACACGGAGCTCAGGGCCAGTCTGGGGTACACAGTGAGTTCTGGGTTAGCCTAGGATAAAGAACAATTCCTTATCTAAAAACAAAACAAAGAAAAAAGAAGAAATGAGCCCTCCTACCTTACGAAACTCCTTGTAATAGGCCCTCCGTGTGGCCTCATCATCCAACTGAGGAAACATATTTAGTTGCTGCAAAACTTCCTCCTAAAGAAGAAAAAAATGAGAATAATAGTCTAGGGGAATAAGGGGCAAGTAGATACAAAAAGGAAGGGAACAAAGAAAAGAAGATAAGAAAGGAAGGAAGGAAGATACATGAAAACCAACAAGGCTTTTGAAAACCACAGGAAGCTAAAGGATACTTGTGAGTCCCAGAACACCTAAAAGTAGCACTGAATGGGAGCACTTGCTGTGAAGTCTGTTGATCTCAGTTCAGTTCCTGGAACCATGGTGGAACAATACAACTAACTCCATAAAGACCTCCATACACATGTGTGGCACATGCATCTTCTTTCTCCCTCCCTCCCTCCCTCCCTCCCTCCCTCCCTCCCTCCCTCCCTCCCTCCCTCCCTCCCTCCCTCCCTCTCTCTCTCTCTCACACACACACAGAAACAAACACAAACACAAATTCTCCCTCACATGCAGATTCTTTCTCTATCCACATGCATTCTCTTTCTCTCTCTCTCACACACACACACACACAGATTCTCTCTCATATGCAAATTTTCTCTCTATCTCTCACACACACACATTGTCTCTCATATGAAGATTCTCACACACACATGCAGATTCTCTCACACAAACACACATGCAAATTCTCTCTCTCTCACACACACATGCAGATTCTCTCTCTCACACACATGCAGATTCTCTCACACACACATGCAGATTCTCTCTCTCACACACACATGCAGATTCTCTCACACACACACACATGCAGATTCTCTCACACACATGCAGATTCTCACACACACATGCAGATTCTCTCTCACACACACACATGCAGATTCTCTCTCTCACACATGCAGATTCTCTCACACACACATGCAGATTCTCTCTCTCTCACACACATATGCAGATTCTCTCACACACACATGCAGATTCTCTCACACACACATGCAGATTCTCTCTCTCTCACACACATATGCAGATTCTCTCACACACACATGCGGATTCTCTCTCTCTCACACACATGCAGATACTCTCTCTCACACACACACATGCAGATTCTCTCTCTCTCACACATGCAGATTCTCTCTCTCTCACACGCACACATGCAGATACTCTCTCTCTCACCACACACACATGCAGATTCTCTCTCTCACACACACACGCAGATTCTCTCTCACACACATGCAGATTCTCTCTCTCTCACACACACACATGCAGATTCTCTCTCTCTCACACACACACATGCAGATTCTCTCTCTCACACACAAATGCAGATTCTCTCACACACATGCAGGTTCTCTCTCTCTCTCTCACACATGCAGATTCTCTCTCACACACACATGCAGATTCTCTCTCACACACACATGCAGATTCTCTCTCTCACACATGCAGATTCTCTCTCTCTCACACACACATGCAGATTCTCTCTCTCACACACACACATGCAGATTCTCTCTCACACATGCAGCTTCTCTCTCTCACACACACACATGCAGATACTCTCTCACACACACACACATGCAGATTCTCTCTCTCTCACACACACACATGCAGATTCTCTCTCTCTCACACACACATGCAGATTCTCTCTCACACACACATGCAGATTCTCTCTCTCTCACACACACACATGCAGATTCTCTCACACACACATGCAGATTCTCTCACACACATGCAGATTCTCTCTCTCACACACACACACATGCAGATTCTCTCTCTCTCACACACACACATGCAGATTCTCTCTCTCACACACACATGCAGATTCTCTCTATCACACACATATGCAGGTTCTCTCACACACACATGCAGATTCTCTCTCACACACACATGCAGATTCTCTCTCTCACACACACACATGCAGATTCTCTCTCTCACACATGCAGATTCTCTCTCTCTTACACACACATGCAGGTTCTCTCACACACACATGCAGATTCTCACACACATGCAGATTCTCTCTCTCACACACACATGCAGATTCTCTCTCTCACACACACACACATGCAGATTCTCTCTCTCACACACACATGCAGATTCTCTCTCTCACACACACATGCAGATTCTCTCTCTCACACACACATGCATATTCTCTCTCTCACACACACATGCAGATTCTCTCTCTCTCACACACATGCAGATTCTCTCTCACACACACATGCAGATTCTCTCACACACACATGCAGATTCTCTCTCTCTCACACACACACATGCAGATTCTCTCTCTCACACACAAATGCAGATTCTCTCACACACATGCAGGTTCTCTCTCTCTCTCTCACACATGCAGATTCTCTCTCATACACACATGCAGATTCTCTCTCACACACACATGCAGATTCTCTCTCTCACACATGCAGATTCTCTCTCTCACACACACACATGCAGATTCTCTCTCTCACACACACACATGCAGATTCTCTCTCACACATGCAGCTTCTCTCTCTCACACACACACATGCAGATACTCTCTCTCACACACACACACATGCAGATTCTCTCACACACACACACATGCAGATTCTCTCTCTCTCACACACACATGCAGATTCTCTCTCACACACACATGCAGAATCTCTCTCTCTCACACACACATGCAGATTCTCTCACACACACATGCAGATTCTCTCTCACACACATGCAGATTCTCTCTCTCACACACACACACATGCAGATTCTCTCTCTCACACACACACACATGCAGATTCTCTCTCTCACACACACATGCAGATTCTCTCTATCACACACATATGCAGGTTCTCTCTCTCACACACACATGCAGATTCTCTCTCACACACACATGCAGATTCTCTCTCTCACACACACACATGCAGATTCTCTCTCTCTCTCACACATGCAGATTCTCTCTCTCTTACACACACATGCAGGTTCTCTCACACACACATGCAGATTCTCTCACACACACACATGCAGATTCTCTCTCTCACACACACATGCAGATTCTCTCTCACACACACACATGCAGATTCTCTCTCTCACACACACATGCAGATTCTCTCTCTCACACACATGCAGATTCTCTCTCTCACACACACATGAAGATTCTCTCTCACACACATGCAGATTCTCTCTCTCACACACACACACATGCAGATTCTCTCTCTCACACACACATGCAGATTCTCTCTCTCACACACACATGCAGATTCTCTCTCTCACACACACATGCAAATTCTCTCTCTCACACACACATGCAGATTCTCTCTCTCTCACACACATGCAGATTCTCTCTCACACACACATGCAGATTCTCTCACACACACATGCAGATTCTCTCTCTCACACATGCAGATTCTCTCTCACACACACACACATGCAGATTCTCTCTCTCACACACACACATGCAGATTCTCTCTCTCACACACATGCAGATTCTCTCACACACACATGCAGATTCTCTCTCTCACACACACACATGCAGATTCTCTCTTACACACACATGCAGATTCTCTCTCACACACACACATGCAGATTCTCTCTCACACACACACATGCAGATTCTCTCTCTCTCACACACACACATGCAGATTCTCTCTCTCTCACACATGCAGATTCTCTCTCTCTCACACACACATGCAGATTCTCTCTCTCTCACCACACACACATGCAGATTCTCTCTCTCACACACACACACGCAGATTCTCTCTCTCACACATGCAGATTCTCTCTCTCTCACACACACACATGCAGATTCTCTCTCACACACACACATGCAGATTCTCTCACACACATGCAGGTTCTCTCTCTCTCTCACACATGCAGATTCTCTCTCACACACACATGCAGATTCTCTCTCACACACACACATGCAGATTCTCTCTCTCACACATGCAGATTCTCTCTCTCACACACACACATGCAGATTCTCTCTCTCACACACACACATGCAGATTCTCTCTCACACATGCAGCTTCTCTCTCTCACACACACACATGCAGATACTCTCTCTCACACACACACACATGCAGATTCTCTCTCTCACACACACACACATGCAGATTCTCTCTCTCTCACACACACATGCAGATTCTCTCTCACACACACATGCAGATTCTCTCTCTCTCACACACACACAAGCAGATTCTCTCACACACACATGCAGATTCTCTCTCACACACATGCAGATTCTCTCTCTCACACACACACACATGCAGATTCTCTCTCTCTCACACACACACATGCAGATTCTCTCTCTCACACACACATGCAGATTCTCTCTATCACACACATATGCAGGTTCTCTCTCTCTCACACACATGCAGATTCTCTCTCACACACACATGCAGATTCTCTCTCTCACACACACACACGCAGATTCTCTCTCACACACATGCAGATTCTCTCTCTCTCACACACACACATGCAGATTCTCTCTCTCTCACACACACACATGCAGATTCTCTCTCTCACACACAAATGCAGATTCTCTCACACACATGCAGGTTCTCTCTCTCTCTCTCACACATGCAGATTCTCTCTCACACACACATGCAGATTCTCTCTCACACACACATGCAGATTCTCTCTCTCACACATGCAGATTCTCTCTCTCACACACACACATGCAGATTCTCTCTCTCACACACACACATGCAGATTCTCTCTCACACATGCAGCTTCTCTCTCTCACACACACACATGCAGATACTCTCTCTCACACACACACACACATGCAGATTCTCTCTCTCACACACACACACATGCAGATTCTCTCTCTCTCACGCACACATGCAGATTCTCTCTCACACACACATGCAGATTCTCTCTCTCTCACACACACACATGCAGATTCTCTCACACACACATGCAGATTCTCTCTCACACACATGCAGATTCTCTCTCTCTCACACACACACATGCAGATTCTCTCTCTCTCACACACACACACATGCAGATTCTCTCTCTCACACACACATGCAGATTCTCTCTATCACACACATATGCAGGTTCTCTCTCTCACACACACATGCAGATTCTCTCTCACACACACATGCAGATTCTCTCTCTCACACACACACATGCAGATTCTCTCTCTCACACACGCAGATTCTCTCTCTCTTACACACACATGCAGGTTCTCTCACACACACATGCAGATTCTCTCACACACACACATGCAGATTCTCTCTCTCACACACACATGCAGATTCTCTCTCACACACACACATGCAGATTCTCTCTCTCACACACACATGCAGATTCTCTCTCTCACACACATGCAGATTCTCTCTCTCACACACACATGCAGATTCTCTCTCACACACATGCAGATTCTCTCTCTCACACACACATGCAGATTCTCTCTCTCACACACACACACATGCAGATTCTCTCTCTCACACACATGCAGATTCTCTCTCTCACACATGCAGATTCTCTCTCTCTCACGCACATGCAGATTCTCTCTCTCACACACACATGCAGATTCTCTCTCTCTCACACACATGCAGATTCTCTCTCACACACACATGCAGATTCTCTCACACACACATGCAGATTCTCTCTCTCACACATGCAGATTCTCTCTCTCTCACACACACACATGCAGATTCTCTCTCTCACACACACACATGCAGATTCTCTCTCTCACACACACACATGCAGATTCTCTCTCTCACACATGCAGATTCTCTCACACACACATGCAGATTCTCTCTCTCACACACACACATGCAGATTCTCTCTTACACACACATGCAGATTCTCTCTCACACACACACATGCAGATTCTCTCTCACACACACACATGCAGATTCTCTCTCTCTCACACACACATGCAGATTCTCTCACACACATGCAGATTCTCTCTCTCTCACACACACATGCAGATTCTCTCTCTCTCACCACACACACATGCAGATTCTCTCTCTCTCACACACACACGCAGATTCTCTCTCACACACATGCAGATTCTCTCTCTCTCACACACACACATGCAGATTCTCTCTCACACACACACATGCAGATTCTCTCTCTCACACACAAATGCAGATTCTCTCACACACATGCAGGTTCTCTCTCTCTCTCACACATGCAGATTCTCTCTCACACACACATGCAGATTCTCTCTCACACACACACATGCAGATTCTCTCTCTCACACATGCAGATTCTCTCTCTCACACACACACATGCAGATTCTCTCTCTCACACACACACATGCAGATTCTCTCTCACACATGCAGCTTCTCTCTCTCACACACACACATGCAGATACTCTCTCTCACACACACACACATGCAGATTCTCTCTCACACACACACACATGCAGATTCTCTCTCTCTCACACACACATGCAGATTCTCTCTCACACACACATGCAGATTCTCTCTCTCTCACACACACACATGCAGATTCTCTCACACACACATGCAGATTCTCTCTCACACACATGCAGATTCTCTCTCTCACACACACACACATGCAGATTCTCTCTCTCTCACACACACACATGCAGATTCTCTCTCTCACACACACATGCAGATTCTCTCTCTCACACACACATGCAGGTTCTCTCTCACACACACATGCAGATTCTCTCTCTCACACACACATGCAGATTCTCTCTCTCACACACACACATGCAGATTCTCTCTCTCTCTCACACATGCAGATTCTCTCTCTCTTACACACACATGCAGGTTCTCTCACACACACATGCAGATTCTCTCACACACACACATGCAGATTCTCTCTCTCACACACACGCAGATTCTCTCTCACACACACACATGCAGATTCTCTCTCACACACACATGCAGATTCTCTCTCACACACACATGCAGATTCTCTCTCTCACACACATGCAGATTCTCTCTCTCACACACACATGCAGATTCTCTCTCTCACACACACACACACACATGCAGATTCTCTGTCTCACACACACATGCAGATTCTCTCTCTCACACACACATGCAGATTCTCTCTCTCACACACACATGCAAATTCTCTCTCTCACACACACATGCAGATTCTCTCTCACACACACACATGCAGATTCTCTCACACACACATGCAGATTCTCTCACACACACATGCAGATTCTCTCTCTCACACACATGCAGATTCTCTCTCTCTCACACACACACATGCAGATTCTCTCTCTCACACACACACACATGCAGATTCTCTCTCTCACACACACATACTCTCTCTCTCTCACACACACACATGCAGATTCTCTCTCACATACACACATGCAGATTCTCTCTCTCACACACATGCAGATTCTCTCTCTCTCACACACATGCAGATTCTTTCTCTCTCACACACACATGCAGATTCTCTCTCTCACACACACATGCAGATTCTCTCTCTCACACATGCAGATTCTCTCTCTCTCACACACACACACATGCAGATTCTCTCTCTCACACACACATGCAGATTCTCTCTCTCACACACACACACATGCAGATTCTCTCTCTCACACACACATGCAGATTCTCTCTCTCACACACACACATGCAGATTCTCTCTCACACACACATGCAGATTCTCTCTCACACACACACACATGCAGATTCTCTCTCACACACACACATGCAGATTCTCTCTCTCTCACACACACACATGCAGATTCTCTCTCTCTCACACACACATGCAGTTTCTCTCTCTCATATCCAGATTCTCACTCCCCCTCTCTCACATACACACTATAATAATTAATTTTAATTTTTCAAAGTAGCACTGCCAACAACCCAAAATGCTAGGAAACTAGAACAAAGGTTGACAGATTATGGGATGTGCGTATGTGTATTTGAGCAGCAGTCAAAGGCCTGCTTGGTCACAAGAGTGTGGAAAAGGCAGGATAAGAGTAAGGTGTGAAAAAAACAATCCATGAGGCACATGAGAGCAGGAAACCAAACCTTGAGTGCAAGTCAGCAGAGGTGTTGGAGCTGCACATGCACATCGTGTTTGTGGGACAATGAAGACCAGAAAGGGGGAAAAGTCACCCCAGGAAGGCCAGATAATCTGCATCCACTCTCTGTCTCTCAGTCTCCCCTTCATATGTCCCTCCTGCCATATTCCCCAGTCATACCTCTCCTGCTCCCTACCCCACAGCCGCTCCATCTTTAGGCTCAAATTTGGGAGAGGCACTGCCTACATGTGTGGTCACAGGCATGCTACAGAAGGCCCCTTTTCCTCCCTCCTATCTTACCTCTCTCTCCCAGTTCTCCTTCTCTGCACTCATCCCTTTCCTCTACTTCTCTTTTCTTCTTGAGACAGGGTCTCACTATACAGCCATTTCTTCCTCTACAGTAAAACTGCAATCCACTCCAATCGCACAGGCCAGCAAGAGCTGCTCTCTTACCTTATGTTCAAACTCCTCCTGACGTTTCTGGACATCCTTACAATAGCTCTCCATGGTCCTGTGCCTTTGTCGCTCTTGCTCCCGGGCAACCTGTTGCTTCTCCCTCATCTCGTCAACCTGAGAAACAAACACATACTGTGACTGGAGCTGAGTAGGTCTGCTGTCCAGAGGCAGGAAGGAGTGGGGATACAAGAACAGGACAGTCAGGAGAACAAGAATATTTGAGAAAAAAGACAGAGAAACTAAGGAATGGAGAGTGGAAAAAAAATTAAAAGAAGAGCTGGGCGTAGTGGCACACAGCTGTAAATCCAGCACCTTGAGAGATTGAAGCAGGAGAATTGCCATTAGGTCAAGGCCAGCCAGGACAACACAGTGAACTCTAGGCCACCAGAACTATACAGCAAACCAGTCTCAAAAAACAAAAAGGGGGGCTAATAAGGTAGCTCCTTGGGTAAAAAGTCTTGCCACACAAGCCTGACCCCCTGAGTTCAATCTCTAGAACATATGGTGACGGAGAAAACTGACTGCCACAAGCTGTCCTCGGATCGCTACAGATCTCACCATGCTGGTGGGAGGGGCAGCCGCACTTGACCGCTCCCACCGCTCCCTCCACCACAAATAAAAAAAGAAAAAAGGCATATGTTTTAAACTACTAAAAATCGGAAAGAATAAAAGAAAAATAAAAAGATTACCTGGGAAGCAGAGAGAGAAGCATTCTAAAACGGAAAACACTTAAGTCCAAACAAGGACAAGGTCATAGGCTGTACCAGCTGCTACAATGGCAAACACCTGTAGCCCAGCTCCTCAGGGTTGGAGGGGGAAAGATCATGAGCCTAGGCATTCAAGACCAGCCTGGGCAACAATGCAAGACCCTGCCTCAACCAACCAACAAAACAGAACAAAAGCAGCAAGAAACTGCACAGGACTAATCACAGAGGAAGGCAACAGCCAAGAAGGGGAGAGTTCAAAGTCCAAATGAGAGGGCTTTAAGGGAAGCATGGTCTCAAATGTGCCAGAGGGTGTGCAGAGGGAGGCCAGCAGCAGAGGTTTGAGTGGAACACTGAGAACATCAGCCAGGCAGCAATGAACTGGGAGGGAGAACAAGGCGAGCAAACGTAAAACTTAAAAGCACTATCAATGTAACTCGGCTCACTTTCCCAAGCCCAACCACAAGAGCATCAAGAAGCCCCGCCCTTCCGCACAACACTTATGCAGCTCGGACACTCAAACCAGGCCATCGCCAAGACAAAAGGCTCACCCTTTTCTTCTTTAATTCGGCCTCTCGGCTGGCATGATCATTACCGTGAACAACCTGGGGAGCAGAGGGTGGTCGGGGTGCCGCTTTCTTCCCATTCTGCCGTGCAGGCCAGTTAGCAAACAAGAAAAAAAAATTGAGCCGTTAATGAATCCACAGAAATCTGAGGAGCAGGGAATATTGTCAGGATGGGGGTTCTCTCCAGAAATCTGCTCATCTAGCAAGGGCAAGACACTTCTCCAATAGCCAGGTAAGGACTGGCAGGAAATGGAGGGGACAGAAGCAGCCAAGACAATTGCTCAATGCCAAAGGGAACCCTTTCCTGACAAATAGCTCCCAAAATGAAGTCTTGGGGCCCAGAGTACCAAGAGCTGAGAACTTGGGGGCTGAGGATATGTGGCTCAGTGGTAGATCACTTGTCTGGTATGCTCAAGGCCCTGAATTTGATACCAAAATATACAGGGATGGCAATAACCCCTAATAAGTAACCCAAGCACAAAGCAGTAGATAGCTTTTGGAAGGAACTTCATATATGCAGGTGACAGTTGCAGCCATGAGTGGGAGATAAAGCCAGATGTGTTTATCCCAATGAGGGGGGCTTTGTCCAGACTCACCCGATAACTACTGACCTGACCCAACAATGCACATACTTCACCTGAAGGTAAGGCCCACTTACCTTCTTACAGCCTTTGGAACCTTTACCTGGTTTTTTGTTCTCTGTAAGAAGAGAGAGAAGAAAAACAAGAGTTATCACCCACCTACCCAATGTTTTGAGTTTGAAGCAGCCTCGTCTACAGAGCAAGTTCCAGGACAGCCAGGACTACACTAAGAAACCCTTGTCTCAACAAACCAAAAAAAAAAAAAAAAAGAAAGAAAGAAAGAGAAAAGCTTTACATGTACAAGTATGCAAATAAAATTTCCCAACAAACAAAAGAAAAGCAGGCTCTGAAAACAACAGAAAAACCACTACAGCTGACAAAGAAGTCAGTACAGTTGACAGAGAAGCCAGTATGGTTAACAGAGAAGCCACCATGGTTGAGGAGTTATGTCTCTCATCCAAAACACTTTTCATCAGAAGAGTTTTAGATTTTGATTTTTCTAGTTTGGAATGTTTACATACAAACAATGAGATATCATGAGAGAAGAGTTGCAGATGTGGCTCACTCGCACAAAGCCCTGGGTTCTTTATCTAACACCACAAAAATAACCGGTAAGGTGATGCACATCTGTAATATCAGCGCTTAGGAGGTGGAGGCAGAAGAAGTAGAAATTCAGCCGGGCGGTGGTGGCGCACGCCTTTAATCCCAGCACTTGGGAGGCAGAGGTAGGCAGATCTCTGTGAGTTCGAGACCAGCCTGGTCTACAAGAGCTAGTTCCAGGACAGGCTCCAAAACCACAGAGAAACCCTGTCTCGAAAAACCAAAAAAAAAAAAAGTAGAAATTCAGGGTTACTCATTGGCTAATACAGTAAACTCAAGACCAGTCTGGGCTAATCTTTGGGGAAGTGAGCCAAGTTAAACTATAAAATTAATTTATGTTTCACATATACCTTAAACACAAAAACCAAAGTTAATTTTCAATAATTTTGTGCACATAACAAAATTTCAAAGTATAGAATTTCTTGAGACATCATATGGGCATGCCAAAAGTTTCAAGGTTAAAGCATTAGATTAGGATATTCAATAAGTCCTGGGGTGTAGTAATAGGAGCGGCGGGGCTGCGTCCCCAGCACCCCGGCCGCCTGGCTAGCTTATGCCCTGAAATAACAACACACAAATTGTATTCTTTTAAACACTGCTTGGCACATTATATCTAGCCTCTTCTCCGCTAATTCTCACATATTAATTTAGCCCATTTCTAATCATCTGTGTTGCACCCCCAAGGTGCACTTACCGAGAAGATTCTAGCCTACGTCCATCCTGGGTGGGAGCTTCATCACATGTGTCTCAGAGAGCAGAGCTATCACGTGTCTGCCAGGGAGAGGGGAGCATGGCGTCTCTGAGCTCACTTCCTCTTCCTCCCAGCATTCTATTCTGTTTACTCCACCCACCTATGTTTTAACCTATCAGGGCCAAGCAGTTTCTTTATTGCTTAACCAATGAAATCAACAGATTGATATATGACACTCCCACATCACTGGGGAAAGGGACTGACCATGTCCCAAGCCAAAATCCTCTATCTGATCACTGTTATGTAAAAGTATTTCCTTTCTGGCAAAACTACTGCCAAAAACTAAACCTAACAGGCTATGGCAGAAAATGTATTCAACATGTTCCAGGCCCAAGTGAGCATGGGGGAGGAAGAGGAGGAAAAGGGGAGGAGTAGAAGATAAAAAACCAAAATTAAATCAGAATAAAGGCTGCAAAGCAAAGAAAACAAAATACAGCTAAACAGGAAATTGCTTAAAACTTATTAATAGACCTAAGAAAATTGGTGATGTAGCTTAGAACTATAACTTAAAACCAAGAAGAATAACGTAAGGAACTAGTGCAGTTCTAAGACATCAATTTCAATAAACTCCAAGAATCGAGAGATGGACACTGGAAAACCAAATGCATAAAATGTGCTACAAACTGGGCGGTGGTGGCGCACGCCTTTAATCCCAGCACTCGGGAGGCAGACGCAGGTGGATCTCTGTGAGTTCGAGACCAGCCTGGTCTACAAGAGCTAGTTCCAGGACAGGAACCAAAGCTACAGAGAAACCCTGTCTCGGAAAACCAAAAAAAAAAAAAAAAAAAAAAAAAAAGTGCTACAAGTCTCACTCTGAATGGGTAGGATTAAAAAAGGTATTATTTAACTTTGGTAGCACAATGGAGAAAGACAAGTTTAATCATGCTATTAGTTTAGCAAAAAGTAGGAAGTAAGAGAAAATAATAAATGCATGTGATAGTAGATGTTTGACCAGAATATAGTTGCCATAACAAATGTGAATGTAGCAAATTTCCCTGGGGGGAGGGGATGAAAACAAAGTCTCATAATGTAGCCCAGGCTGGTCTTGAACTTGTAGCAATCTTCCTGCCTCAGCCTCCCAAGTGGTGGGAATACAGGAGTGAGCTACCAAGCCCAGGCAATTTCCCTGTTTGAAAACAACAAACTAGAACTCAGGTCTCCCTCACTTCTAAAGCACTTAGTTGCAACAAAAGGAATGTGACAGCTAGAATGAACTAGGTCTCAGTATTTTTACCCAACAATTTCCATCTCCCTAACTGCCTTGGTGGCAGAGCCCTGGCACTGATGCCGGCATGCAATGAAAGAAAAGACATCACTCAAAAAGGACAGCATTTTCTTCAAAGAAGAGAAGGAAGAGTGGGAAGAGATAGTCACTCCTCAGCACTGCGACACTCGGGAGCCTCTGGTCACTCACTGGCTTTACTACAGTTCCTAAGGAAGAGCATCTACCACTTTGTAGCTGGCAGGCAGGTCAAAGTTCTTATTCTGAATGTTGAAGACCTGTTTTTGTTTTACAGAGAGGAGTCATGCTGGGCAGTGGTGGCACATGCCTTTGATCCCAGCACTTGGGAGGCAGAGGCAGGCTCTACCCAGTAACTGGAGCTGTCGTAATAAGGGGAGCGGTGGGGCTGCGTCCCCAGCACCCCGGCCGCCTGGCTAGCTTATGCTCCGAAATAACAACACACAAACTGTATTCATTTAAACACTGCTTGGCCCATTTCTATCTAGCCTCTTCTAGGCTAATTCTCACATATTAATTTAGCCCATTTCTAATCATGTGTGTAGCACTGCTAGGTGTGCTTACCGGGAAGATTCTAGCCTACGTCCATCCTGGGTCGGAGCTTCATCGATCGCTCCTGCCCAGGCAAGGGGAGCATGACGTCTCTGCTACAGAGAGCAGAGCTGTCGAGTCTGTCCAGGAGAGGGGAGCATGGCTCTGAGTTCACTTCCCTCTTCCTCCCAGCATTCTGTTCTGTTTAATCCTCCCACCCATGTTTTAACCTATCAGGGCCAAGCAGTTTCTTTATTGCTTAACCAATGAAATCAACAGATTGATATATGACACTCCCACATCATGGAGCTGCATGATTTTAAAAAAAATTTAGTTTCTAAGGCCCATTGCCTGCATCTACTAACATCTAGGCCTGAAATCATCAACTCTCCCATCACCCCATAATTTACCTCTCACCTCCCGTAGTCCTGGACCCAAATGGCCCTGGTATACACATAGCTGCAGTGACTTCATTTGTGTGCTCCCTCCTCTCCCCTGGCATCTAACTTACCTTGATGGCCTCTGGAACACCTGTACAGAGAGGACCAGCACTCTCAGATGCCTTGAGCCTCCTGCCCTTGGTCTCAACTCTCCCAATCACAAAGCTTTACTTTTAAGATTTTTCAAAAGATGATGCTCTTTCTGGCACATTAATCTTAAAACCAGAAGGTACAGCTAGATGTCCCTCACTCACCCTTGTCAGACTGGAATCATATGTGCCCTCTCGTTAAAAAGGAAAAAATAGAATAAAATCCCTGCTACTCTTCCGGGGTCCCTATCATTCCGCTGGGTCTGTTCTTCATTTACTGAAATGCACAGGTCATAGCTTTGCTCTCCGAACAATTTCAGTCACCATCCACTTGGAGGTCACCAGGTAGCCCTTCCAATAACCTGGGTTTCCCACTTCCTTGATATCCTCACCACTAAGGATCTCCACTCCATCTCATCCATTCATGTGACTACACTGAAGGGGACACCATCTACAGTGTCCTGGACTTTGCAAAGTAACCTCAGACAGCACTTTCCCATCTGCAGGTTTATGTGTCCAATCTCCCAGATACACAAACCTTTTACTCATTGCTTATTCATCCAGCCACATCGTGTCCAGCTCCTTTCCCCTGTGTCGCACAACCGGGATACCTCTGCTCGTGCTTATTAATCAACTGCCCAGCAAGCAGGCTACTTCAAGGTTATAAACCTTGGCCACCAACATTTGCAATTTTAAATTTTGGGGTTTGGGACTTTGAGTTTCTGAGATAGGGTCTCACTTCTTATCCCAGACTGGAGTCAAACTCCCAGCAATCCTCCTGTTTCAGCATCCCAAGTGGTAGGAGTACAGATATTAAACTCCATAGCCAACTAATAGCTTGCTTTTTCACTTTGCATGAAGGTGTGGATGGGATGCATGTGCTGACATGTTGTGTCTGCAAGTGTGGGGCACATGTGGCTGTGGAGGCCCAAAGTTCACCACGCGTGTCTTCTTCAATTGCTCTCGAAGGGTCTCTCCATTGAGCCCAGAGCTCACTAATTTGGCTAGCCTTACCTAGCCAGCTTGCCCCTGGGGACTGCTGTCTCTGCCTCTGGAGTTCAGGGATAACAAGGGGCTGCCATGCCTACCCAGTTTCTACGTGGGTCCCAGGGATATGAACTCTAGATTCCATGCTTACACGGAACATACTTTATCCAATAAGCCATCCCTCCAGTCTAGATTTTTTTTTTCTTTTTTGAGAAGCATCTCAATATGCAACTCAGGTTGACCTAAAACTTGCAGAAATCCTGCTTCTGTCTCCAGCAAGCTGGATCAAAGGTGAGAATCACCAGGCCTTGTTACTGTAAACTTTTTAAATAATAAAACACAACCCCCTTTAAATAACCATTCTAAACTGTTCAACTAAAATATGTGATGGTAGACTCAGTTATAGATCACTTACCTAGCACACACAAGGTCCTAAGTTTTGATACCCAAAACCACAGAAAATGTACCTAAATATTCTATAAAATTCCCCTGCAGGGTGTGGTAGCTCACGCCTGTAATCTCAGCCCTTGAGAGGCAGGGACAGGAGAACTGCTCCAAGTCCCAAGCTATTTACATTGTGAGTTGGGGCTGACTGAGCTACTGAGTGAAGTCCTACCTCAATAAAAACATTGAGAATTAAAAAAAGAAGCTGGGCAGTAGAGCCAGGGCTACCCAGAGAAAACCTGCATCAAAAAAAAAAAAATAAAATATACTAAGGGAGAGGAGATGATCAAGTCCTGAAGGCTAAAGGACCAGCAATGTGTCCACACGGTCTGTTTCAGTTAAAAAAAAAAATCTAACATTTAGATATTAGGCAGCGTGGTGGCAGCATCTTTTAAGGAGTTAAACTCCAAGGATCAAGAGTCTGAATGTTGGCAGAATGCTATATAATCTAAAATGGCTTAAATCGCCTATGTAATTAAGACTGGCCTTGAATTTGCAAAGTTCTCCTATTTTTGTCTCCTGAGTGCTAGGAATTTAAGTATGCATAATCATAACCAATGAGGCTGGCCTAGAACTCAGGTGTCTCTCTCTCTCTCTCTCTCTCTCTCTCTCTCTCTCTCTCTCTCTCTCTCTCTGCTGAGATTAAAGGTGTAAAATTTCTAATCCAATACTTGTTACACAGTTGGCTCTGTATACCTATGGGTGATACATCTACAGACTCAATTAACTGTGAAACAGTAACTGCATCTAGGGGCCAGCAAGATGGCTCAGTGGGTAAAGAAACTTGCCACTACGCTTGATGATTTGAGTTCGATCCCCGGGGCCCACATGGTAAAAGGAAGGAACTCACTCCTGAAAGTTGTCCTCCGACCTTCACGCATGTGCCATGGCATGCACATGCACAATGGACATAAATGAATTTTTAAAGAAACTGTTTCTGTACTGGGTATTATTTGTCATCATTTCCTAAACAAGTCTACATATGATTTGCATGGTATTAGATTATTACGATAACCTGGAAATGTTCTAAAATACAGGCGAAGATATGTGTAGACTAGATGCAAATACTATGCTATGTTACAGAAGGGGCTTGAACATTCACTAATTTTCTATCTGCCAGAAAATAGTCTCCAAGCCGGGCGGTGGTGGCACACGCCTTTAACCCCAGCTCTCGGGAGGCAGAGGCAGGCGGATCTCTGTGAGTTCGAGACCAGCCTGGTCTACAGAGCTAGTTCCAGGACAGGCTCCAAAGCCACAGAGAAACCCTGTCTCGAAAAACCAAAAAAAAAAAAAAAGAAGAAGAAAAGAAAATAGTCTCCTATGGAAATGGAGAAATGATTGTACTTACAGAAAGTGCTTACAAAGGGCCAGGCACTGTTCTAACCATTCTGTCTCTTTAAATTCATTAATTCTTCATAATTCCAGATCCTCAGGAGACTAGGATAACAGGATGCCTTGGGCCCAGTATTTGAGGCCATTCTGAGAAATACTGCAAAGCACACTCTTGGGGCTAGCAAGATGGTTCAGTGGGTAAAAGGATGCTTATCCTCAAGCCTAAGGACTTAAATTCAATCCCCTTGGCTAACAGGGAGAGAACTGACTCGCACAAGTTGTCTCTGACCTCCACACATATCCCAAACCATAGAAGTGCACACATACATGCATATATACATACACACATAAACAGATGAATAAAGTTTTTAATCCTATTCTGAGCATGATTTCATAAACCTATAACCGAAGGACTAAGGAAATGGAAACAGGAAGATTAGAAATTCTAGGTCGCTCCCCCAGTCCACAAAGATGACCCTGCCTAAGGCCCTAAGCAATAGGGGGAGGGGGCATCTTGACTTGCCCTGTACTCAGACTGATGAATACCTTAAATGTCACCACAGAACCTTCATCCAGCCACTGATGGAAACAGAGGCAGAGACCGGCATCAGAGCACTGGACTGAGCTCCCAAAGTCCAGATGAGGAGTGGGAGGAGTGAGAATATGAGCAAAGAGGTCAAGACCATGATGGGGACACCCACTGAAACAGTCTACCTGAGCTGATGGGTACACTGGGAAGGAACAAGCATAGGACCAAACTAGTCTCTCTGAATGAGGGTGACAGTTGTATTGCTGGGGCAGACTGTGGGGCCACTGGCAGTGGAACCTACTGCATGTATTGGTTTTTTGGAAACCTATTTTCTTTGGATGGATACCTTGCTCAGTCTAGATATAGTAGGGAGGGCCTTGAACCTTCCAAAAAGCAGTGTGCCTTACCTTCTCTGGGGATTAGATGAGGGTGGGGTGGGAAGGTGTGTGGAGAGAATGGGAGGAGGGGAGGGATTAGGAACTAGGACTGTTTTTTTAATTAAAAAAAAAAAGAAATTCAAGGTCGCCGGGTAGTGGCAGCTTGCACCTTTAAATGTAGCACTCTAGAGGCTTATATAAGTGATTTCTGTGAGTTCAAGGCCAGCCTGGCCTATAAAGAGAGTTCCAGGACAGCCTTGGGGGCAGTTAAACAAAGAAACCCTGTTGGGGGGGGGGCGCTCAAGGTCATCCTTAACTACGTTAGGGAGTTTGAGGCCAGCTTGATCTAAGCGAGACTTTGACTCAAAAAGAAATTCCTCTTGACAGGTGTGGTGCCTCCTGACAGCAATTCAGGGATGGAGTCAGACAGAAAGATGACAAATTCAAAGCCAGCACAGGCTACCTGGAAAGACCCTATATGTCAAAACAAATAAAATGCCCAAAACAATATGATATATATATATATATATATATATATATATATATATATATATATATATATATATGTGTGTGTGTGTGTGTGTGTGTGTGTGTGTGAATTATATAGAGAGAGACATTATACTTAATGACCACTGTGTTGCAGATACGGAAAGTGGAATTAAGTGGCTTGGCCAAAACTATACAGCTAAGAAAAAAGGAGGGGAGACTGAAACTCAATGGGGCTTCTGCACACAACCAATACAACTTATGATATCAATTAAAAGACAGAAGCTATGAAGACAGACGCTGGGGCCTATTATGCAGCATCATAGATCAATTACTGCTGTTTACCTCAGATTCAGTCACTTACCTTGCTGAGCCTCCATGTTATCATCTGTAAAATGACAATGAGGAAAAAGGAAAAACTACCTTCCAAGAAATTATGAGAATGCCAAAGGTACCATCTACAAAAGACTCAGACTGGCGAGCAGGGTCATACCGAGTAATTTTTAAGTTGTGAGCCGAGCATGGCAGCACATCACATTCCTACAGCCCCAATACTTGTGAGGCTGATGCAGGATGACAAAGGAGCTTGAGGCTAGTCTCAAAAAAAAAAAAAACAAAAACAAAAAAACACAAAACCAAAACCAAAACCAAACAAAAAAAAAAAACCATATGTGATAGAACATGTAATTTCAGCATTTGGGAGGTACAGGCAGGAGGATCAAGAGTTCAAGACCAGCCTCAGCTACACAGCAAATTCAAGACCAACTTCAAAATATATAAACAAGTAAAAACAGCAAAGTTCTTGCAAAACACCACAAATACTGAATGCACAGGCTTGGGAGAGGGTGGCAGAGGAGACTCACTGTGTCTAAGCTTCATCATGGTGATAAGATGAGCTTGGAATAAAGGCAGCAACTTGAGGAAGGCAGACCTAGGAAACACAATTCCCTTTTAAGACCCTTAAAGGCAAAATAAAATGCCACAGAACATAATCAGGAAGCCCTACCAACTGGAAAGTCAGGAGAATGGGCTATACTGGACCTAGGGCCTGATACAGCTGAGTACACCCGAGGAAGGGGTATTGTATTATACGACTCTAAGAGAAGCAGATCAGAACCTCTCTTTCTGGATGGAGTTCATGCCTCCAATACGTTGAATGGGATACCTGTAGTGTCATATCCTAGGTAAAAGACTAGTGCTAAACCCCTCCACACTGGGAGAAGAGCAGATACTTGTTTTTTCATGAAAAGACATGCTAGTGTGTTTTTTCAAAGGGGGCTTCTGTGTGCCACCTACCATTAGAGAGGTGGAAAAAAACAAATCCCTAGAGAAATAGGTTCTCAGAATTCTTACTTATGTCTGCATAGGTTGAGGTCAATGCCAAATCTCAGGATGTGGGGTGGAGGATCTCAGCTCCATATGTGGCTGGGGTCTGCACCCTGGCAATAGAAAGTACCTCTCTTCTTGGGTCACTGAACAAAGAAACCAATACAGTGGTCATGTGTGTCGCCACTGCTACATGGGAGAGCACTGGTCCAGGCACTGAACTATGGGAAAAGGTAGACCTAGGTCTCTTTTCTCATCAGTCAATGAGGAGCGAGGCTGCTGCTATGCTTATTTCCTGCAGCTCTGAATGAGCAGGGTTCGCACACCTTTGCCCCATGGAGGCCATTCTGAATCCTTCCATAGGTGGTGTACCGGAATGGTGTCTGTACATTTCATGTGGGTTAAAGTCAGCAGTATATATTAGTAGTGAAAGGAATAGGGCTTCTGGTTCTCTGTATGGCTAAGAAATAGGAAGGCATAAGGCCATGCCATTATAAACTATGACGTCACTATCTGTCAAGGCTAAATGGGGGTGTGATCTGCACCTCTACTGCTCAGATGTCTCTCTCTTGGCAATTTGGTGATTATATATCATTTGGAGGGTGGAGTCTATCTACCTCAAAAGGGGGGAGAATAAATCTGAGTCTCTCATGCTGAGGTCTCCTTAAGAGGCACAACATCCTCTCAATGGACTAAAGTCTATTCCCATGTACTGAGCCAGTTTAGGGGTGGGCCTTTACAAAAATCAATAAAATAGCCATTATTTATGGGGTAGATATGGTGTCTGAGGAGTCTCCAGTGCCATGGGGGAGGGGCAAGTCTGTGTGGTCGTCCATCGGCTTGTGTCTAACCATTTTGATATTCAGGCTGACGGTGTCGATTGGTCACTCTGCAGGGGAAGGGTAGACACAAGAAGGGCAAGTCTCTACATCAGATCTCTCCCTTCTAGACAGTACACATTTCTGAGCGCCTCTATACCAGTATGGAGGTGGTCAAGGAGATGCCTCGATGAAGATCTGTGCCTTAATAAGCCAGGAGAATCTGTACTGTTCAGCCTTGTATTGGAAATTATTTTCTTATAGGGCAGGGATGACGTCACCACCACCATTTGATGGATTGACACCTATCTACAAATTACGCAATCCAAATAGGAACGTAATAGATCTGCTCCAACATGGAAGGGGGCGTCTGTCTACAGGAAAGCAATGGCAGTAATGCGAAATGACGCCAAATATCCTGAAAGGAAGAAGGCAACCGACATTTTGTCTCATGCGTATGATCTGCCTCTCTACATGACCAGGATGCATCTTGGTAGCCTCTCTGTGGCCGCCAGAATGCAGTTCAGCGCATCTCCACACATGGAGCTATCCATATCCCTTTTCCGGGCCCTTCAACCCCAGAAGCAAGCCAGCTTCTATTCCACCTCTCTATTCCAGGATGGCGAGCATCTCTGGTTTCATCTTTAAAAAACCATCCTCACTGCACTACTGGCTAGGTGAGCGCTCGCCACGGAAAAAAAAAGAGAGCGTAGTCTCTTACCTGCACTTCTGGCAGAGCCTCCGAGAGCTGCTGGAAGAACAACGACGCCAGACAAGGACCACGCAGCAAGGATCCGCCCGGATTTCCGGATCTCAGCCCAGCGCGTTGCTCCGCCTGCTTTTCTTACTGCATGGAGGCGGAGTTTCGAGATCATTGCTGCTCTGCGCAATCCCGCTCCATCTCCCACGCTGGCCCCGCCTCCTGGCTGCCCGTGGGTAAAGAAATAGCGAAGAGAGAGGCGGGAGCCGGGCAATGGTGAAGGCGGGGAAGTGGGGGGGGGGGCATGGAATGCGTGTGTGTGCCCGGCGATGGCGGTGTGTGGGTGTATGTGTGTGTGTGTGTATGTACTCGTGTGGCCACAAAAGCTATTTGTAAAAAGGACTCTTTTTAGGATACATATTATCCAGTCTCAGTCACTAAAGTATTCACTGGCATCGTTTGAAGAGGGTAGGGGGCAATCATTTGTCCTCCTGGAAGATGGCGATGGCGACAAGCCGGGTGCGGGAAAATGGCCGCCGGAATCACGTGTCTGCCTGGACGAGTCTTTCCCACCTGAAGGGACTTAGCTGTTCTCAGCGCCATTCTAGTCTCAGAGGCTCACCTGGAGCAGGACCCGAAACTATCGGGATTTTCATTCACCGGTTCATTCACCCTTCTCCCCCATGTGTGATTCCTGTGTCTCCAGAAAATAAACTTGTCTCTAAAGCGAGGGTAGGTAAGGATGTCTTTAAAAAGCATTTCAAGAAAGACTCCTGGCTTGGGGAGTGAGATGCCCCTCCAAAAACGTAACTCTGAATTTAAATCTTTCCTAATCATTTAATTCCAGTCCTTTCTCCCTCCTCACCCCTAAACCTTAGCGATGGGGCTGGGCTAGGTAAGGCAACCCCTGAAGGAGTATTTCTTCACTTCCAACCCATCCCTGCCGAAAATAAATCCTTTTGTCCTCCTTCCCCTTACAATATAGGGATTACTTTTATGCTTCACCCTAGACACCAGATTCCTCTGGACCCCCAAAGTAGTCACAACATTTGCAGGTTCTGTTTTCTAAAGTCTTAACTCCTGTCCCTTAGATGAAGTTTCTATGCAATTGTTTTTACGGCACTTTCCCTGACTCCCAGTTGAGTAAGAATCACACCAGCGTTTGCCTTTACGTGTCTGGGATTTATCACAATATTATACTGTAGTTATTTTATTATTAAAATTGTCCTTATAGAATTATTTTATGTGTATGAGTGTTTTGCCTTTATGTATGTATGCGCACCACATATGTGCTTGATGCCTGAGGAGATAAGAAAGCATTGGATCCCCTGAAGCTGGAGTTGCAGATGGTTGTGAGCCGCCATAGGAATACTTGCAGTCCAGGTCCTCAGCAAGGGCAAGAATAATCGCTCCTGACCAGTGAGCCATCTCTCTAGTCCCTATACTGTAGTTCTTAATGTGGCTTCATCACCACAGGAGAAGGAACTCAGAGCAGAGACAATTTGTTTTTGAACTTCAAGGAGACCCAGTACAAGATTGGCTTCAAGCAAATTTAGTTTTTTGTTTGTTTTGTTGGTTGGGTTTTTGTTTTGGTTTGGTTTTTTGAAACAGTTTCTCTGTAGCTTTGGAGCCTTCTTGGAACTCGCTCTGTAGACCAGACTGGCCACAAACTCACAGAGATCCACCTGCTTCCGTCTCCCGAGTGCTGGGATTAAACGTATTGACCACCACTACTCAGCTTCAAGCTGCAGCTTCAAGCAAATTTGTTAAATGAAAATAAGACCTGTTGCCAGGCAGTGGTGGCGCACGCCTTTAATCAATCCCTGTACCACAAAGCAGTGGAGACTGAACAATTTAGTAGATAAAGAGAAAAATGAGGCCGGGCGGTGGTGGCGCACGCCTTTAATCCCAGCACTCGGGAGGCAGAGACAGGCGGATCTCTGTGAGTTCGAGACCAGCCTGGTCTACAGAGCTAGTTCCAGGACAGGCTCCAAAGCCACAGAGAAACCCTGTCTCGAAAAAACCAAAAAAAAAAAAGAGAGAGAGAGAGAGAAATGAATGCCAGCTATGTTAGTGCATACCCATAATCCCCAGGACTACACACAGAGTCTAAGGCAGGAGGATGAGGGATTCAAGATCAGCCTGCTTTGCACAGCCAGAATGTCTTTAAAATGAAATTCTTGATTTTGATACAGAGGGGGTTTTTTGTTGTTGTTGTTTTTGGGTTTTTTGTTTGTTTGTTTGTTTTGTTTTTCGAGAGAGGGTTTCTCTGTTGCTTTGGAGCCTGTCCTAGAACTAGCTCTTGTAGGCCAGGCTGGCCTCGAACTCACAGAGATCCGCCTGCTTCTGCCTCCCGAGTGCTGGGATTAAAGTATAGAAAATACTATACAAGCTAACAACAGAGGGAAACAATTCTATCCTACTATAACACTTATGAGCCACTATAATTAAAAGTATTTTTATTTTATTTATTTTATGTATATAAGTGTTTTGCCTTTGCCTACAGGTTTTTCTGTGCAGCCCTGGCTGTCCTGGAAATCACTCTGACCTTGAACTCATTGAGGTCCACCTGCCTCTGCTAAGATCAAATCCACGTGCCACCATGCCTAGCTGCTTTTCTCTCTCTTGTTTTTTTAAAGGTTTTGCCTTAATGTAAGTCTGCACCATGTGCCTTGTGCCCAGAGAGGCCAGAAGAGGCGGGAGTCAGATCCCCTGGAACTGGAGTTATTCCGTTGTAAACCACCTTGTGAGTTCTAGAAAGTAAATCCCAATCCTAAAAAAAAAAAAAAAAAAAAAAAAAAAAAAAAAAAACTACCAATAATCTTTACTGGTGAGCTAAATCTCCTGCCTCTTGTAGTATTTCTTAGTACTAGGGTTGAATTTTGATCTTAATGTATGTTTACAAGCATTCTACCACTGAGCTAACCTCACTCGTAGTCCTGCAGTCTGAGCTACAGAATGTGTTCAAGACCAGCCTGGGCAACTGAATGAGACCCTGCCTCAAATAGTAAAAAGTCAAAAAGCAGGCTGATGATACAGCTCCATGAGAGAGCACTTGTCTAGCATGTGTAAAGCCTGAGTTCATTCCCTCATACTACAGAGAAGCCCAGTAATTTAATAATGCAGTTAAATATGGTCCAGGGCTAGGGTTGTAGCTCAGTTGCAGGATATTTGCCTAGCACGTACAAGGCCCTGGTTCCATTCCCAATTCAGTTTTTAAAAACTTAGTACAGATTAGTGTATAAATAGATTTTTTTCAGTATACAAATATATATATATATATATATATATATGTCACATTCTTAAATTACCCAATTATCCTCAAAGTGGTTTGTTTTATTTTATTTGTTTGGTTTTGGTTTGTCAAAACAGGGTTTCTCTGTAATTTTGGGGCCTGTCCTGGAACTCACTGTAGACCAGGCTGGCCTTGAACTCACAGAGATCCACCTGCCTCTGCCTCCCAAGTGCTAGGATTAAAGGTGTGCGCCACCACCACCTGGCCCTTCAAAATGTTTTTAAAACTACTTCATTTTTTGATCCCAGTATCTCATCAAGATGCATGTATTACATGTAACCAGGTCATGTTTGCTTGCTTGGTTGGTTTGGTTTTTGTTGTTGAAATTTTTTTGTTTGTTTGTTTTTCAAGACAGGGTTTCTCTGTGTAGCCCCGGCTGTCCTGGAACTTGCTCTGTAGACCAGGCTGGCCTCAAACTCACAGCGATCCGCCTGCCTCTGCCTCCTGAGTGTTGAGAGTAAAGGTGTGCGCCACCACTGCTCTGCTTGAATTCATGATTCTTCTGCCTCTGCTTCCTCACTGCTGGATTTACAGCTCTTTGTGTCACCATGCCCAGTTGTTGTTTTGAATAGATTGATAGTTTCGAAGAGTCCAGGTTACTTGTCTTACAGTATGTCTCAAGTTCTAGATGTATCTTCTTGTTCTACGTGATTATATTAGTTTTAAATATTTTCAGCAAGATAGTACATAGGAGCATAAAGAAATATCCTCTACATCTAACTGCTGTTGGCAACTACAGTAAGGCTTCACTGCATTTTCTTTGCAGATTTAGTTTGCAAATTTTATTTTTAAAGTAGCTCCCTTGTAGGTTGCAAAGGTATTCTCCCTTTTTTCTGTTCATATGGTTTTATTGGTTAAATTTATATTTCTTTTTTTCTTTAAAAAATGTATTTAAAAAGTTGTATTACATCCTGGGCGCTGTTTCCCCTCCCTCCTCTCCTCCCAGTCCCTCCGCCATCTCCCCTTTCTTCTTACACCCCAATCCATTTCTTCATTTTTGTTTAGGAGAGAGCAGGGCATATAGCAGCTCATTGTGGGTGACTGAACCGACAACCAGGGAGACTACACGGGACCTGACCTAAGCACTCTGCATATATGTGACAGCTGTATAGTTTGGTCCTCCTGTGGGACTTCTAACAGCAGGAGCAGGGGCTGTCTCTGACTCTTACTGGCTTTTGGGGAACCTAGTCCTCATACTGGGTCACCTTGCCCAGCCTTAATACACGGGGAGATGCTTAGTCTAACTGCAACTTGATATGAGGCGGTTTGTTGATAACCTTTCAGTGTTACTGTAACTGAAAAGTGAAAGCAAAGGTGTTAAGGGCATGGTAGGGCAGAAACAAAACCAGACAAATGTGGAGTGATGGAGGCAGCGGAAAAGAACAACAACCAGAAAACAACCACCCAGAATGAGCTGGCATTAGGACCCAGAGGAGTTGGTATTCGCTGATTCGCT